TCTACAGCAGACACTGCCGCACCAGGTTTAAGATGTTTCTTCAACGCAGAAGCGTAAAGGACAACCAGAGGAAGTGTTGGACGTCTTTCCTCTTCGAGCGCGTCGGTAGCATCTTTGAAGGGTTGCAGGAACACGATTAACTCGTTGAGTGTTGTCTTGTTCACGCTTTCCTTGACTCCAGTAGAGCTTCTATCTCCTCGAACGGAGAGCAGACGGACTTTAGCCATGGATACCTTTGAATTTAAACTTACGGCACACGACCCGGGCCGACGCGATTTTAAATTTACGGCACACGACTGACCAGGCACGGCCCGGGCCGGTCCGGGCCGACGCGGCCCGGAAATGTTTTTTTTCAAGCCCGAGCCCGGCCCGGGCCCTAAAAAATACGTGCTACCCGGCCCGAGCCCGGCCCGCGGGCCGGGCCCGGGCTTTCGGGCCGGCCCGAGCCCGTGCAGTGCTCTAGGCCGTAGTAGGACGCTGGGTGGGTAGTATTTCAAATACAAGTACTCGAAAGACATATTTAAAATACTCGAGTATTTTTTTTTATTTTAATTAAATGTTGGGGAATGTATTTGTGAACTGTATTCACATATTTAAGTTCGAGCACTGCTCTTCGCATGCAAATGTGATAGTGGGCACTCTTTGTGAAGAGAGTCATGTATGCAAAGAACACGTAACTCGCTGCGCCTTGTGCAGAATAAACTTTAAATAAGAAAGCAAGAGTAGTACAAGGCCGATCAATGCCCATTCGGTTGGGCGATTTTATTTTTTAAACACGTTGTAGTGCATCATGCAGTGCATCTCAGCACTGCAGGAAAGAAAAGTCAGCGCTCGCTTACAGCGAGTACTATCATCTTCGCGAGACCCCGTTGAAATACGGACCTAAAAATCGTACTGTTTTTTTTTTTTTTTTTTTTTTTGGGGGGGGGGGGGGGGGGGGGGGGGGAGGCGCAGTTGCCAGGACGCGGCCTAAAAGTCGCTAAGTGCTGCTAATGATAATGACTTTTTCGAAAATCTTTTTTTTTTCCTTCGACAATATTTTAAATTACATTTTGCGGTGGCGAGTCAAGTGAACAGTCGTAGCCGGCCGTCCTTTTCCCAAGGCGCTCGCCAACACCTTGAGCGACTCAAGGTGTTGGCGAGATCCTGGCCGAGGAGCCAAACAGCGAAAACAGCAGAAGACTGCATTGACGTCATATCCCTTATGTACACATCGTCCCCAGTCAAACGAATCTGCTTCATTCTAATCGAACAAAGCTGTTCGCTTCAAAACGCAGTTTTTTTTCTTTCGCGGCAGTCACAAAGGATTTTCAGAACACCTGCAAGATAATTCACAACGAATAGAATGGCACCATCCTCACCCTCAACAGGATAAATGAGCGACATCCAGAGCTGTCCCCTGGAAGCCGCCCAAAAAAGCAATCCCACTAACCTTTTTATTTTTCTGAAGACGAGTTTATGAGTCTTAGCGGCTACCCGAATAGAAATCCCGGGGATTTCTCCCCGGCACGCGCATCCCACGACGAAAACGTCAGGCTTTCCGATGTGCAAAAGCCTCGCGTATTCATCTCGTGATGCGCGCGTGCCGGGGAGAAATCCCTGGGATTTCTCCCTCGTGTATACCTTTTTAGTGCCTTTAGTAACGACAATTTACCTCGCGACTCACTCCACAGAGTGCAGCATCACCTTCCCAGTGTTGCCAGATGGTCCCACCAAAAAAACCGCCAAACGACTGGGAGGCAGTGTTGCCAACTCAAAAATTAAAAACCCGCAGTCGGAATCCCAAAAACCGCTAAAAAAACCACTAAATCGAAAATACAGCGCCAAACGACTTTTTAGACGCTTTTTTTTTTGCTTTAATTCTTGAAAAAAGTATAATAACAGTATGAATCATATCAATGCCATCTAAAAGGAAGCTTTCCTTTTATTTTTGACTAGAAATCTGTCACGCCACTTCACAGCTCACCCAGGTGATCCGAAGTCGAAATTGCAGAGTGAGCGCATACGAACATGGCAAGTGACCCTTCAGCAGTGCGTGACTAGTCAGACCCGTTCAACTCGTAGAGTCGTCTGCTACCAGAGGAGAAAGGTGCAGCCGGTGCAGCGGCCGAAACATGCTTCTTCGTTGCAGCGTGCGCGACCAAATCCACATTCTCCGCAGATAGCTCTGTTTTGAAATAGCGGCACCTGGCTCGTCTGCTATCACCAGGAACCTCCAGTAGCCAGTCTTTAAGTTTAGGGTCTTATAGCCAGTCTTTTCTAAACTTTTGAGCGTACTTCACCACGCCCATTTCACGAAACAGTAAAAAAAAGTCAAAGGAAAATTGGAACATTCATGCTGTTCAAACGTGCGCGCACAAAACAGGGAGGCATGTTCCGACATTCGACGCCTTAATGTTCTGATGACGTCACAGGCGTTACTCTCACAAACCAGAACATTACTGAGAGTAAGCGAAGACCACTGTGGCTTATTATCCTTGTCTTTATGGATATTAAAGGTGCATAGTTGACAGTAAATCGATATAACTTGTATATCGCTAAAAAACCGCCAAGGTTTCATAAAACCGGCTAAAAATCCCGCCGCCCGCAAAACAGAACCAAAAACCGCCAAGTTTAGCGGGAAAACCGCTAAATTGGCAACACTGCTGGGAGGTATAGCCCAAATATAGCCAAAGCCGTAAAAAAAATATATAGCCCAAAATAGCCAAGACTAAAACAATGAATTTTAAGCCTTATATTGACAATTTCTCACGCTCATACAATGCATGTTACAATCTGTTTGATCCCTCAAAAGCACCACCTTTTGTGTACATTAAGTTACTTGTGAATTTTTCAAGAAAAGCATCGGAAGGATGAATATCCGTACGATACTGGCCCTTCCTCACACAAAGACAACTTTATTGTGAAGCCCGGGAGATATGATCATAGAATAAAATAACAAAATACAGAAGCAGAACAGTCATAACACTGGGTGTTTCAAACCAGAACCCAAGTATCTCAGCTCCTTACTAATATCCCCCATCTCTTTTTCTTTGTGAAGGAAATTAGTGTCACCCATTCATGTTCACGCCATTTTCCTTTCTTGGGGTTTACCTGGTGGTCCGCCAGGTGAGCAGCGACTGGAAGGTAGTCAATTGTTTAGCGGTGAAACTGCGGACTTCTCATTTTTACAAACCTGGGATCATTTGAAGAGTTCAGTCTACGTCCTGGCTGAGCCATATGCGTCCGGGTTGAAGGCGTCCTACTGGGCCTGTGGTAATAGTGCAATCTGTTTGGTTTGCTCCACTGTGCTGCAGGGAGACCGCTTGAACTTTGCAAGCATTGCTTCGCTGCGTAATGCGAAAACCCCAAAATTTGTAGACGTTTGAAGCCTTTCTCCTTCCTCTCGAGTAGCCAAAAAAAAAAAACTTTTTTGGTTCGAAACTGATCAAAAGATCGAAAATTAACTAGCCGAACCTCAAAGTTCGGTGTCGAACCTGAGGTTCAACAAAAGTTCGCCGCATTCTTAGAAATAGCCCAAAATAGCCACATAGCCAACCACGAAATTTTGACGCCAACTAGAAAAAAATGTAGCCCAATTTGGCTATATATAGCCCAATCTGGCAACACTGCACACTCCCGGCTCAGTGATAAACACGAGCACAAACCCTGGCACGTCGGGAGCTCCCGAAAATCTGCCCTAGGATTTTATCCATACTGGTAGGCAACATCTAGAGTACTATAAATTTAAAGGAAGTCGCATATTCGAAAATGCCAGCACTGCATTAGGTCGCGACGAAATGTCGTTAAGTGAGGTTGGCAAATCAAAACTGTGGCCAAGGAGTTTTCCAAGATGCTTTCCACGGTTTCGATTTCCCGCCGGAAGCATTATTGGGCGCAGGAAGTTCCGCGATTGCTTGTTTATGTCTACCTAGGGATAACATGTACATTTTTCCAGCCCTAATCAACAAAACAAAAATTGCCGAGTCACTGGGCTGTGTATCTGGCAGAAGAGCCGCTGCGCATGCTCAGAACCCAAGCCCAGCGTCCGACGCTGGAAGCTCTGAAAATTCTGCGTACTGGCAGACACTAGAGCGCAATCCTTTGATCCGTGTGTTTTACCGACAACATGGCCGACAAAGCACCTCGGCGCGAGTCACGTGGTACTCAGGGTTCCAGGAGGCGGCTCGCCCTATGGGAGATCACATAGAGATTGACGCAACGCGGCTGATTAAAAAATAAACGCCGAGTTCACACTTTTCGAAACTAGTCTGTTGGGAAGGTGGTAAAGCACTAAACACTTTACCAAAGTTTTCGTAATATCGGATGCATGTGAAAATTTTAAGAAGGCAATTTTCAAGGCAACGGCATTTGGAGCAGACGATTTTTGTGTGCAGAAGAGATGGGCTGTTTGGGTTGGCCGGAGCGGGTAACGTGAACGTTGTCTGCTGCATAATGTCGCTCACGCAATTAAAAAAAAAAAAAAAAAAAAAAATCACGTCCCTATGTGACACACAACTTAGCGCAAATTATTCTAAAATGTTCCATTAATATGTCAAAAACTACTGTCGTTCCGTTCATCTCCACAATATTGAAAAAATGATTTTATCACGTCAATAGTCACCGAGAGATGGCGTTCTAGATTGCGCTATTCTACTCCGAAGGAGCTATATAGTGCTCTAGCAGACACATACCACCAATGTAAGAGAACTACGAAATGCAGCAGATTCCGTCACATTAGCAAGTTCTATACTTACATGTTTTGTGGTATCAGTTGTATCTGTATCTCGAAAGAGGTATATTACAGGCTTTGTTCGAATTATTGTTTTTCTAGTGCCCAACCTTCATCTTCAACCAAGCAATGCCAATAATCCCATGCCAACATAGTAATGGCATTAAACAAGCTACAGGCATAGAGCACAGTGAAACATGAGCAAACGAAAAGGGGCGACGGGCAAAGCAACAAAACATTTTTTTTTAAAAACTAGGTGATAAGTACAAGCAATGGGTAACAAAATCCCTGGAGTTGGTATGGGTGCACTTTATTAATCCACAACTGCACCGACCCTTGAAAAGTGACCAAGTCACGAATCGGCCAATCTGCCCACATGACTAGGAACGTGTTCCAATGCCATACCAAAGCTTGCTGGCACGAGACGGGCACATCACCTGCCAACGTTCAGCCTTCCACGTGAAACAACTATGTATGCACAAAGAAAATAAAGAAAGGTGGGGAATTTTAAGCAAAACACACTTTACTCTTCAGGTGGATATTCCACCCTGGTGGAGCCATGTTCCAATCCTAACTAGTGGCAGCCTGCTGCATCAGTAAATAAAACCATACTGCTAAATTACACAAGCCAGAAGGGCACATTTTCATACCACAGACAGTTCAGTTCAAAATGCATTGCAACAGCTTGATAGAAAAATTATTACCAAACAACAGTCACTTCTACAAGACGGATTTATACAAAGCTGTGGAACACATTCCATAAAAAAACCCAAAAAACTTCAATGATAGCACACTTGGCTATGTGGTTTAGAAAAGTAAATCATGTAAAGATGAAAAAGTACATATACTCTTGAAATATGTCAGTGCACATGAAGAGCTTTCAATGATTTCACTGCAGTCAATTGGCATAAAGATAACAAAAATTCACTAACAACTCTATACACCGTGTCACTAGTTCCGTGCAGTACAGGCGAAGGCAACGCCAGGCGAGGGTAGGAAGGGAAAGCACTAGGAAGGCTGGTGAAGAGGAGAGAAACCTCCTCTCCTTTCTAATGTTCCTAGTGTTCTCTCTTTCTTCCCTCGCCGTCCATTGCCCTCTTCTCTTGTCTCGCCTTCCTAGTGCCCGCCCTTTCTCTCTCCACCTGCACTGCACAATACAACTAGTGACACGGAGTATACATGCAGAAACAAGCTAAAACCATTTGGAGAAGTTTGTACCAGAAGTTTATACCAGCTTTAAGCTGATGCACCCGCACAGCTGCCATGGGCTGTGAGCACTCATGCTGAAACAGTACTATCAACAAGACCCGGTAGCTGTGAACAGCCCACTGACATGCTTCACTTCCACGCTGGGCTCAGCGTCTTGTGGACCTGGTGTTTGTGCGGTGGGCGACTGCATCTCGAAGACGTCCTGTGGCACCAGCACCACTTCATCAGCTTTAGATAATGCTGATGCCTGAGCTGTCTCTTCGACACTATCTTTGGGCTTAACACTACTCTTGTTTTCAACACCACTGGAGTCTGTCTCACTGCTGTGTTTGCACTGAACCTGCAAAATAGCCAATTGCGTTGCATCGCCTTGCAATTTCTTAAGATCTGCTCGCACTTCCAATTCCTTGGAAGTTTGGAGGCAGGCAACTTTGCTGGGGCTTAGAGAATCGTCCCTCTTCCAAGACTTGACAGGCTCTTCCATTACATGCTTCTGTGCTAGTATATCAAAGTCCTTTATGGGTCTGACCTCTTCAACAACGTGCTTCTGCACCAGTATATCCGAGTCTTCTGCAGGCCTACCCTCTTTAACAAGGCCTTGAAGTGCTCGACCAAAGTCTTCTGCAGGTCCCTCTGCCCTGGCCAAGTTGCCCAGTGGATTATTTCCTGCAGGCTCGTCCACAACTTCCTGTACTGCATGGCCACAGTCTCCTGCAAGCTCATCCTGACTGGTAACTTCCTGTTCCAGTTGTTCAAGGCCCCGTGTTCGGTGGTCAAGGCATTCCAATACCTGCTGGTCTAGGTTTTCTGCATGGTCCTCCTCGCTGACAACTTCCTCTTCCACTTGCCCAAGGCCCCCAACAGGTAAATCCTCATCCAAAAGGTCTTCGGCAAGTTGTTCAGGGGATCCTACTGGTTCCTGGCCATTAACAACTTCCTGTCCCATCGGCCCAGGGTCCTGTACAAGCTGCTGCTTCTTGTCACCAAAAGCATGTGTCACACAATCAATGTTATCTGCAAGCACTTTCTCCTCAACAATGTCCTGTACAAGTTGCTCGGGTTGGCTGGCAGCCTCCTCCACATTTACAAGTGCACAAGGCAGTTGGTCAGGGTTAGTGCCTGCAACCTTCTTGACAAAGTCCTGCATGTTGAGATCTCCTGCAGGCCCATCTTCACAGAAAAATCCCGGTAGCGGTCGGTGAGACTTGTCCACAGGTTTGTCTTCCTCAACAAAACCTTGCGCCGAATCCTTGAGGTCCCCTGCAAGCTTCGTTTCTTCAGTAAAACACTGCACGGGCTGGTCCTCATATTTTCCATATTCTACCTCTTTAGCAGAATCTTGCGATGCCTCGTCAAGGTGCTCAAATTCCTTGGAGATGCTGCAAGCCTCCAGTTCAACTTGACTGGAGTCTTCCGAGTCCTTCCTGAACACCTCCACCTCTTCAAATTCAATAAAGTCCCCTGAGGCATCAGTCACATTACTCTGAAGCTCTGCTACATTGGAATATGCAGGTAGTTGGTCTCTACTGTGGTCTTCTACAGAAGTGTTACTCAGGACATGATTCTCCATTGCTTTTGCGGTGCCTGACTCACAAGCTTGGTGAACATCTTCAGGCTTGTCATCATTTCTACAGGAATCGTCCACCACCTCAGCGTTTCCATCTACCAGTAAAGAAAGGTCCTCAGACATCGCAGTCTCGGAGATGTATTCACTTTCATGCTTCTCTCCACAGCCGCCCTTATTCTCCACCAACTTCTCTTTGTCCAGAGCTTTGCATGCCAAACTTTCATTTTCATCAACTTCACCTAAATCATTTTCAATCAGTTCATCTTTGAAGTCTTGTCCTTTGCTTGGTGACTCCAGATGTTCCTCTTGCTCATCCTCCAAGACAGAAAGCGCCTCCTCCTCAATACTGTCCACCAAAGCCACAGTTTCACATTCAACCTCATTGACAATGTCTTCATTGACACTGTCAACGTAGACCTCCTTGTCATCTTCTACGTCATCAAATTCAATTCCATCTGGATTACAGATGCGGTTGAACAGGTCCTGCGCACTTTCTCCCTTTCCCTCGTCTTTTTCCAATACACTCTCTTCTTGTCCTTCCAAGTGTACAGCCTCGTGGACGTCTGTAGTTCCGTGAATCTCCGCAGCCCTGTGCCCATCCGTGTTCCCTTCGCTGTTGTCTAAAACCACAATGTTGAAAACCTGTGTATTGCAGTTTGGGAGCAAGTCGTCCTTGGTGTCATTCAGCACAACGACGTTGCTGACCAGGTCATCCAGAGTCTCTTTGCTGGCTGCAACTACATCGTCCATTTCCTGTTTAATGGACACCTCTGGGAGCTCCTCCTTCTGCAAGGTTGACTCAGGCGAATGTGCACGAATTGATGAAGCTGAGCTTGTTGTGGAGGGACTAGAAGAGGTGGAACTTGACGGCATAGGGCTCAGTGAAGACGCTTCCTCATCATCGAGCTTTCCAACTTCTTCTGGGAAGTAGCTGCCACTCCCTCCATCCCGGAAGAGCAGTGACCTTGCACTGTCTCCATCACTGCTCCATACCTCGAAAGTGTCACACTTCATGAAAGCTTGCGGTTTGTTGTGCCGAGCTGGCTGGAAATGACACTTGACATGGTCACGCAGCGTTGACACGTGGGCTGCTCGGTAGTCACAGAAGCTGCACGCAGAGCCATCAGACACACCATGCCGCCGTAAGTGGTTTGCCACTGTGTCTCTTCGGTGGTATGCATACGGGCACCGACTGCACACATAAATAAGCTTCTCCTCAGCTGGGGCTTGCGTCACCTTTGCCTCAATGTCCAACATGGGGGCCATAATCTTCAAGGGGGCAACTTTCTCTGTATGCTCCTGGATGTTAGAAGCAGTCACCACAGAAGGCATAGCTGGTGTGGGTATGGCAGCAGGCTCCCCAGCTTCAGGTGCTGGGATTGTCTCATGAAGTTTGTTGTGTTTGATCAAATTGACGGCAAACTTGACAGAATAGTCACAGTGCGTGCAGCAGAAACGTTCCTTACGTCCGTGGAGTGTAAGATGGCTCTTAAAGCGATTGTGTTTAGAGAATGATGCAGGGCACTTGTCACAGGTGAACATCTTGGGAGGTTGCTTTTGCTTGAGGGCACCACGGTAGTGCAGCCGTGTGTGTGCACTCACATTGGCGGAGCTGTTGGCAGCGTAGTTGCAGAAGTGGCAGGCATACACACCAAGGCTGCCGTGCAGCCCCACATGGTAATCAAGGGTAGTGGCCTTCTGGAAGGTTGCTGGACAACGGCTGCATCGGTGCAGCTCGAGTGCTTGCGAGCCACTATCCACAAAGGCTCGCGTCTCGGCTTCCTCCAGGAGCAGCATTTGGTCTGCAGTAGACAGTGTCGACGTAGCGGGAGTACTGGTCGAGGCCTGTTGCTTACTCCGGTCCTGGCTGCGGATCTCTGCCAGTGTGAAGCCGTTCTGGCGTTTTGCATACTCTGCCGTGTGCACGAGGAGGTGCTTGTGCAGATGTGGCTTATGCCGTGCTCTGTAGTCGCAGAAATGACAAGGATAAAGGTGGGACGAGTTGTGGTAAGTTCTGTGAGTGTTTAGGACCATGTGGCTCTTAAACATGGCCGGACACTTGTCACAGAAGTAACTGAAAGTATTTTTGCGTAGCAATGGCTTCACCTTGCTCACTGAAGACACCGAGCTCGAGCTCTGCATTGTGTTGCAGACGCCCTGCTTGGCAACCACTGGTCTTTCAGTGAGGGAGTTGAGGTTCTCACAAAAGGTCTTCATTCTGTTTAGGTCCAAGGATGGGTTTTCAGCCTTATGAAGTTTCATGTGGCTGGCGAGCACACCGGTGTTGTTACAACGGTAGCTGCAAAGGACGCACTGGAACTTGGCAGCCTTGGAACCCATGTGCATACGCTCATGAACCTTCACATTGGTGCGGCGCTTGTTGGTTAGGGGACAGAAGCGGCACTTGAACATACGGCGGGCAGTTCCATTCACCATAGTTGTCGTGGCTTGGATGCCACCACTGTGTGGTGTTCCATCTGGAGTATGCTGAGGCATACCATTGGCCTCACCTATGCGGTGGACCCTCTGATGCTGTGCCATCAGGTGGCTGTGAGTCGACCAGTATGTGCAGTGGGTGCACTTGTAAGGAGCATTCTTGTTGGTCCGATGAAACTGCTTGTGGTACAGGTACTGTGTCTTGTTATCTGATGCATAGGGGCAGCAGTCACATGTGTGCTTCTTCGTCTCCGTCTTGGGTGGCATCTGGTAAGATATGCTTTCCATGGGCTGCTGCTGCCCTTCAGCCTCGTGCAGCTTCATGTGGCGAGACAGAGTCTTCTTCATGTTGACATAGTAGGGGCAGTGGGGACACTTGTAGATTGCTCCTTCTCTTGGGACATGCTGTTTCATATGAAACTCCATGTGGCAGGCCTTGGAACAGCGGTAGGGGCATGCACTGCACCTGAAGATCTTTGCATCCCCTACCGGCCCTTGAGGCACGGCAGGGGCAGGCTGATTGTCGTCTTCTGCCAACCGGAATGTCCCACCTTCTTCGATGTACGACACCCTGCTCTCAATGTCCCGTGGCCCTGTGTTGTGTCGGTGCCGCACATGCATCAGGACGATGTGATACCACTTTGAAACAAAGTCACAGAGGCAGCAACGGTAAGGCTTCACTCCTGTGTGGGACCCTAGGTGTGAAACGATCACCTTACGGTCAGCATGGCTGAAGCTGCAATGGCTGCAGTTCAGCAACTGCTGATTTCCTCCCTGCTCAGCAGCCACTGTTCCAGGGTCTCGATCCTCTTGGTCTCCATAAAGGATGTCAGGGGTTACAACGATGTTCTCGGTTTCGTCTTCACCTGTGACATCTTTGGCAGCTGGAGCTGGCTGCAGAATTCGGTCTCCCCTGGAAGTTTCTTCTACATCCACAAGGTGCACTTTGTACTTGGAGTAGTTTTTAAAGCCTGTTTCGTCCATAACAACCACGTCCGCCTTTTTGTGGCTCGTGTCGTAAGCAGACTTTGTCTTGATATGCTTATTCACATCCCACTGCCAATTGGAACGGTACTTGCAGACTGAACACATAAAGGGCTGCTTGTTCAAGTGTTGAATCATGTGCACATGAAACCGAGATGCTGTTCGGGTCAAGAAGGAACACTGGGGGCACTTGTACTTCTGCACCACTCTCCCCGACGGGGCGGCTGGCTGATGCAAGCCCTGATGCCTAGACGCAGATCTCTCGGTAACTTTACTGATTGCTGCTTCAATGGGTTTCGAGTCATAGTCATGGTTGGCGTCTTTGGGCTGTGACAGCAAAAATCGCAGAACATGACTGGACTTGGACTGTTCCACATCCCTTTCCTGGTTCTCACAGCCAACAGTGTTCTCCTTGTGCATTCTGAAAACATGTCGCGTCATGTCACCTTTCCAACGACTTGTGTATGAGCAGGACGTGCACTTGAAGGACTTTGGGTTGCCGTGAGCCAGTTCGTGCTTCCGCAGGTCTGAAATCCAGCGTGTAGTGTATCCACAGCTGCCGCATGTTTGTATCGGCTGTTTACTCTTGATGGAGATGTCCAGTGCTTGAGATGAGCTAGAGAAGCTTGCTCGAGCATTCAGCTCTTCAGACTTGCCAAGCTCAATGATAATAGGTGTACTGGTGGTGCGCACCGCTGCCATCCCAGCACCCGAGGTGTCTGCCGAGTAATCGTCCCCTTCTCGATGGTCGTTCATCACATGGGTCTCCAAGTGTTCTAGACGGTCGAAGCGAACATGGCAAAGTGGGCAGCCATGCTTCTTGGTCATCGTAAGGTGGGTTGCTTCATGCTTCTTCATCTCGGATGGCCACGTGGTCTTCTGTGGGCAGTAGCGACACTTCTGCATAGCCGACCGTGTGGTTGCAACTGTAGCTGTGTCCCCAGTTCTCTTCAATGTCATTTTCAAGGGCGGCTGCAATGTGTCGTCCTCTTCTGCATCCTCGTCAATCATGAGTCTGCCATTGTCTTCATCACCTTCGGGACTCTCCATTTCCGTTTCCTGGGTCTCTGTCTTGTCTGCATCACTGTCCGAGAACTCCTTCAGGTTCTTATTGTGGTGGTGAAGGCAGTGTGCAGCAAGGCTCTTGCGCGACATGGTCATGAAACCACACCGGTCACACCGAAACTCCCCATCTGATCTGTGGTACTTGAGGTGGCGGTCCATGCTCCATTTGTAGCATGTTTGGAAGTCGCATGACTGGCACTTGATCTTGGGTAGGCTGTGGAAGCGCAGATGCCGCGTATAGCGCCCCTTTTCATGGCACGTGTAGCCACACTGCTGGCAGCGATAGAAGCGCCGCTTTAAGTGTGTCGTCTTCTCATGCTCTTCGACCAGCACTCGGCTTCGAGCCTGGAAGGTGCAACTGCTGCACTTGAACCCAGGTGGCAATTTCATTTTCTGCGGCGGCTTTTCGGGGGTCACCACTGTTCTTGCGAAGTCCTTGGGATCTTCGCCATTCATTTCCTTCTTATGAACTATGTTGCAGTGACGCTGGATCTTCTGAGGCTGCTTGGAGGCATACTCACAGAACGGACAGTCATGGATGGTGATTCGATCTCCATGGACGTCTTTCCTGTGAATCAGAAACTCCCGTGACTCCTTGGTCACCAAAGAGCACTCAGCACAGGTGTAGGTCCTCCGCCCCGTGCGCCCCTTCTTGCTTGACGCTGGCGGGGAGTTGCTCCTCTGTCGCTTGCGTTCCTTTCCTTTTGCGCCTTTCTCCGACAGCACCTCCTCCTTGATCTCCACAACAGCCTCTGCAGCGTCATCCAGGTCATCCGTGTCTGTCCTCGCTGCATTCTTGGGATGCCGAGCCCTCCTGGCTTCAAGCTTTCGAAGGAGACTATCCAGGAACTGAGGGTGGTCGTTGGATGTGTGGGCAACCAATTCATCCTGATTATCGCAAAGCCGGTCGCAAACCTCGCACCCATTAGTGCTGGTGAGCTTGTGGATGTTGCGCCGGTGACGATAAAAGTTGGCCTGATACCGGGTGACAAACGAACACAGACTGCATTGGTACACCTGGGTGGTATGGTGTAGCGTTACATGCTTGGCTAGGTGCTTCCGGTTTTTGCCCACAAAACTGCAACTGTTACAATTGTACAAAGCCATGACATGGGTCCTCAGAGGAGAGATTGCATCCTGTCCTATTATAGCGACGTACGATGGAGCAGTTATATCCACCGCCGCACTGATCTCTCGACAATGACAGTCAACCGAGGCACCCTCTGGCTACGTGAGGCAGCAACTCCCGGAAGCGCAAGTTCTGCAAAGTGGGGAAGGTACAAAGGGCGACACACTAAGTTGGTTCAGTGGACAGGCACTGCGACATTCAAATGTATTAGCAAGAACTCACACATTGGCTTGAAATCGGCAGCAGCGCCATGGCCCACACGGTCCCCTCGGATCACTGCAAAAGCACAGACATACATTACTCGCACACGAGCCACATGTCCACTTGAGGTGCAAAGTAGCACTAGCCAACAAAACCGGCCGTTTTGCAGGGGCAAGGAGCGCGCCTCATCAGAGGTGCCCGACCGGAGGTTCCTGGTGGGTGAGCATATCTAAGGCCCGTTCATACACTGGCAACTCCTTAGAACCAAGTGCCTTGAAACCTCTCAAAATTTCTTAGTACGAGAGAACACACTGGCACGCGGCTCCACCTGTGTGGTGACCCTGGAACTGGATATCACAAGAGCGAAGGTTTTGTGCGATTTCCAAGGTCCAATGTGTGCAATACGTATGAGAAAGGGTCGTTTATAACGTAAACGAAAGTTTTTCAAGCCAAAAAAGGATGAAGCGCGAGAAAGATAGAAAATATGCGGGACTGCCAAGTTTCCACTGTTACCCAATAGATAACGCCAGTGTGTCCTCTCGCCATAAGAGATTTTAAGAGGTTCCAAAGCCCTAGGTCTTAAGAAGTTGCAAGTGTGTGAACGGGCCTTTAGCACCGCTAATGACACCAATTCGGAAAACGGTCCCTAGAAACAGGAGGATTTTTGCAAAAGATGCGGCATGCCTCCTCCATAACTCAAAACCGAAGGCCATAGCGCAAGTGAAAAACGTTTCCTTTCCAAACAACCGGTACAAGGGCATTTCCTGGCTGCCAGGTGCTACCATTGCGACGGCGCAGCGTTTCTCAGTCATCCTTTCGCTCACACGAGCGGCTGGCCCAAGGCAACCCAGCTTCGACCAGGCATGCAGCGTCGATACGAAGGCGTGCCTTTTTTGCAGACCGTCCACCGTGAGACAAGACAGATTGCCATTTCGGCCGCCGCCGGAAACGAGCGAGTAATATACCTGTCAGACGGGCGTCTTGAAGGCCTTTGGAGTGAATGTCCTTTACCTCAAATGTCATTTAGGCGGTGTCAGAGTTGCAAGTCAAATGTCATTCGAGCTGAATGATATTTACGATCAACGGAGTTACAACAACTCCGTTAGCTCCTTAACTGCCTACTCTCGTCGACAGCGATCACGGATGACTACGAAAATCATTAAAAAAATAGATACTCTTATTTAGGAATTCATCAGTTAGAATAAATTTTAAAACAATTTAATAACCTCTGTTTACTTTAGAGCGACTTTAGCGTCCTTTTTTATAGACATATATATGTACTTGCAGGCACAACAATCACATCCTCCTCTGTTCCTTCCTGTTCACACTCGTCACTGCTCACTGTGCTCTCCGTCCTACTTATCTCTTCGCTCCTGATCTTGCTCTTGTGTTCCCCATTCTCCTTCGCTTGAGGTTTCGTTTTATAACTGAACTTTAATTTTGAAGTGTTATTTTGTATTTCGACTGGAGGGCCAGCATCTGGCCCTCTAAGCGATCGGCTTCACTTTTTGCCGATGACATGGCAGCTTGGATGGCAGCCAAGGAGCTTTGCTGCTGCGCGTGCATACAAAAAAGAACAACAACCCGAGTCTCTGGCGGTTCCGAAGGCTACATTGTCAACACCACCGGAATCGGTGGCGTAAGTGGAGCAGACCGAGCAGACGGGGAACCGGACAGAGAACCAACTTGCAAGCCGAGGAACAATGGAGAGTCTTCGCGCGGGAACATCATTGTTGCCTCTATAGCGGCTCATACCAGATCGGCTTCACTTTTTGCCGATGACATGGCAGCTTGGATGGCAGCCAAGGAGCTTTGCTGCTGCGCGTGCATACAAAAAAGAACAGCAACCCGAGTCTCTGGCGGTTCCGAAGGCTCCATTGTCAACACCACCGGAATCGGTGGCGTAAGTAGAGCAGACCGAGCAGACGGGGAACCGGACAGAGAACCAACTTGGAAGCCGAGGAACAATGGAGAGTCTTCGTGCGGGAACATCATTGTTGCCTCTATAGCGGCTCATACCAGATCGGCTTCACTTTTTGCCGATGACATGGCAGCTTGGATGGCAGCCAAGGAGCTTTGCTGCTGCGCGTGCATACAAAAAAGAACAGCAACCCGGGTCTCTGGCGGTTCCGAAGGCTACATTGTCAACACCACCGGAATCGGTGGCGTAAGTGGAGCAGACCGAGCAGACGGGGAACCGGACAGAGAACCAACTTGCAAGCCGAGGAACAATGGAGAGTCTTCGCGCGGGAACATCATTGTTGCCTCTATAGCGGCTCATACCAGATCGGCTTCACTTTTTGCCGATGACATGGCAGCTTGGATGGCAGCCAAGGAGCTTTGCTGCTGTGCGTGCATACAAAAAAGAACAGCAACCCAAGTCTCTGGCGGTTCCGAAGGCTCCATTGTCAACACCACCGGAATCGGTGGCGTAAGTAGAGCAGACTGAGCAGACGGGGAACCGGACAGAGAACCAACTTGGAAGCCGAGGAACAATGGAGAGTCTTCGCGCGGGAACATATTGTTGCCTCTATAGCGGCTCATACCAGATCGGCTTCACTTTTTGCCGATGACATGGCAGCTTGGATGGCAGCCAAGGAGCTTTGCTGCTGCGCGTGCATACAAAAAAGAACAGCAACCCGAGTCTCTGGCGGTTCCGAAGGCTCCATTGTCAACACCACCGGAATCGGTGGCGTAAGTAGAGCAGACCGAGCAGACGGGGAACCGGACAGAGAACCAACTTGCAAGCCGAGGAACAATGGAGAGTCTTCGCGCGGGAATATCATTGTTGCCTCTATAGCGGCTCATACCAGCCAGTACCAAGCAAAGTTGCTTCGCTAGCAAAAACAACACGTTTCCTTGAGCTCCGTTTTAATTGTTTGGAAGAGCATGTTTGTTGGTCGTTCGAACCTCGTGGACTAAAGCTTCTTTTATCTTATCAATCCGCCCATTCAAGATTGGTAAAAAGGGGCATTGTGAGCTTGTGCTTTACGAATGCCTTGAAGAGATCCTGCTTCCATCAAGCACAGGTGAGCTTTGACGCTCAAGTTTCCTGCCTTCGGTCAGCGGATTATCCGGAACACCTATTGGCATCAATAGGAGGCGCTTTGTTGAAGAAAATTAAATTAGAAGGCGGTGCAAATGTGAAAAACACTTCTAAAAAAAGAAGAAACAAAGTTGCTGTACTCGTGAAGGCGAGCGGGTTGAACTTGAATACATAAAATTGAAAGAATAAAACGCAGAGGACAAGCACAGGACAACCACTGAAAGAAAGTGGTTGTCCTGTGCTTGTCCTCTGCGTTTTATTCTTTCAATTTTATGTAAAGTTGCTGTGGTCCCCTATTTACATAGAGTTTCCCATGGCTTAAAGTTAAATCGGTTTGTGGATTCTACAGAGAAAGTTGTTTATCCCATTCTGCTATCCTGTGGTAAACAATACGTAGGCCAGACGGGCAGATGCCTCAATGATAAGTTAAGAGAGCATTGTTACAATGTAAACAGGGTAGTATCAGGACACTTGGGCATTCATTGTCATGACTGTGGCTGTGATGCGTAATTTAAAGAAGATGTACTGTCATTGGAAGAAGTGCCAATGCCCTGACCAGGGAGATTATAGAGGCAGAGGCGATAGCGCGCTTGGGGGAACAGTGTGTCCGCGCCCTGCCAGTTCTTTTGTGGGCTAAAGAATTAGATTTCCTTTCACGACGACAGCATGTGCAATGATTGTGCGGGTTTTTAGTGGGGTGTCATTGGCTTTGTATGCTTCCTTTGCTTGATCGTGTATAGGCTGCATCTCGACGATTAAAACTTCAGTTGCAAGTTCAGCGGTTGTTTGTCTCCTTTCTTCCGTCCCGTCTGTTCTGATGTATGTTTTAAATAATCATGCCTTACCAACACGCCCAAGCTTCCATTCTGAACAGTTTTATTGAACGCCTGCTTGGCAAATAAAAAGTTGCCATTAAATGTAAAATGATTGCCTTAGCTTTTCATTCCTTTATTTTTATTTTGTGACGATATCGGGAGTTCCGTGAAAGGTTTTATAGGTTTATAAATTATACATTCTCTTTGTAACAGATGCTTATTGTTTTTATGCTTGTGACTTTCCCACTTTCAAAAAGGTTTGTTTGAGGTGCTTCGCTCAACTATCAAAAGAGAATATATGGCTCTTTTGCAGCATCATGTCAAGAATTATAGAACTTTATCTCAGTAGTTACCCGACCGGCGGATAGAGGGTGCTGACACACTCACCGCCATTAGGTTGGTTTTAGTTTCAACGTGCACGTGGCTGTGTCGCTGTTTTATGTAGTTTTTGTTAATTTTGTGATACAAATGTTTCCCTAGTAGCACATAACCGAAGAAACAGTAGTAGTGAGCCACTTTGAGGACTACAAAGTTGTTTCGAGCCTAAACTGCAGGCTTTTTTTACGAACATCTTGGATGCATCCGATTATGGACGGCAGCAAAACGACTGAACTGATGCACAAGGACAATTACCATCATCTACAGCCAATGACGCTAGTTTCTAGAAAACTAAAACAATGAAAAGACTAATACATGAATGTGAACAAGCAGGTCGACAGCTGGAATAGCCATGTGCTGTATCGGGAAGAACAGATGAACTCGCGAGTTTACTACTGACCGTTTTGTTTTCGTGGGCACCCAACTTTTAGGGAATTTCGCAGACTAAAAAAGTCTCGTACATTGACGAAGAGAATTTATAAAAAACAAGAACTATTGCCTCAACCTGTTTTAACAAAAAAAAAAAAAAAAAAGAAGTACTTGAGAAATATCTTGACAAGGCAACCAAGGCCAAGTAGGAAATATCTTTATCAGCCCTGCTAATATATTGCTGAGCAGTATTTTCAGTATTGGCTCTATTTGCTTATGGCAAACATAAGATATAAGTGATAGGCCGGTCAAATTAAGTTTGACATTTGCCTGCCATAATTTGACCGAATAAAATTAAAGGGCGCAGGAGAAGTACCTCGGAAAGTTTGGCTGAAGTCTAGCGCTAGGCACCACTGGATGGACCTGTGTAAACAGATCTTTATTTGTTTGAACAGATACACTTGGTA